TTGTGCTGCCCGTACATGTGCATGCATGTGCGTGTGTGTCTGTGTGCGCGCGTAAAATTTCATTACTATCTGCTTGCTTGTTTGTTTGACGATAACATTACATTATATTTATATAGATAGATGTGAATGAGTATGCTTGCGTGTATGTGTGCTTCCATGCTGTATTGAGTGTGTGTTTTGTGTCTGTGTGAGTGTGTGTGTGTTTGTGAGTGGGTGAAATGAATATAGGAGTTGAGCACATATTTGTGTATGTCAGTAAATTACAATTAATTGAATAAATAATGAAATAAAAATAAATTTATTATTATTATTATTATTATATGTACGTATGGAATAAAAATAAATTTATTTTTTGAAAGTTAATAATATTTATTTAAAATATTAATTATTTTAAACATCTCGTATGATAGGAACCATTTAAAATAAAATTCAGTGCAGCGTCACACACGACAGAGCAACAACATCAGGCTGATGTGAATGTTCGTCTTTCTGCTGATTGAGTGTACGTCGTCTGCATGTTGTTATGGCAACTAATTATATGACAGCCAAAAAACAGAAATCATCATCGTCGTCGCCATTATTATTATAGTTATTGTTATTAACAATATTATTATTAGTAGTAGTAGTAGTGGTGGTGGTAGAAGGGTGGCAGAAGCTGTCAGTCGCGGGTCCACGGGAGTCGGGAATAATGAAAGTTAGAAAAAGGACCGTTTTATGTACAAAATCGACCCAAAAAAGGTCAAAAAAGGTCGTCAGCCACACCACCCCCAATCTCGCTCCTACCCGTTAAAATTTCAACATTTCAAAATTTTGCCCACCCCCCGTCCAAGTTGTCGAGATCCACCACTGACGCTGATAGCGGTGGAAGTGGTAGTATTATCACATACAGTTGGTATTGTTGGCATTATTATTGTTGTTGCAGTAAATGATGATGTTGTTGATGTTGTTGTTGTTGATGTTGTTGTTGTTGATGATGATGTTGTTGATGTTGTTGTTGTTGATGTTGTTGTTGTTGATGTTGTTGTTGTTGATGATGATGTTGTTGATGTTGTTGTTGTTGATGTCGTTGTTGTTGATGATGATGTTGTTGATGTCGTTGTTGTTGATGATGATGTTGTTGATGTCGTTGTTGTTGATGATGATGTTGTTGATGTCGTTGCAATACAATGCAATATTTTATTTCCTCCGCAGTATGGCATAACAATGATAAGAAGGCAGGATGATTGTGGTGGAGTTCGTTGAAGAACTCATCGAGCACAACCGCCCGGGACATAAAATTTCAAAATTCTGCAAAAATGTTATCCGAAAATAAATATTCATTTTTCTCAAGAAAAACAAAACTGGAAAATGAAATGTTAAATTCACTTGTTCCAAATTGCGAATTCGCACATACATCCATACTTACACACATCCATACTCACTCACACACATCCAGACACACTCACACACATCCATACACACTCACACACATCCATGCACATTTACACACATCCATACACACTCACACACATCCACACTCACTCACACACATCCATACACACACACACACACACATCCATACACACTCACACACATCCATACACACTCACACACATCCATACTCACTCACACACATCCATACATACTCATACACATCCACACTCACACACATCCATACACACACACACACATCCATACACACTCACACACATCCATACACACTCACACACATCCATACTCACTCACACACATCCATACATACTCATACACATCCATACATACTCATACACATCCATACACACTCAAGCACATACTCGCACATTCACTCACATTCATTCATTCTTACTCATACACATTCATGACTGCATAATAATAGCACAGTAACTTATTTGCACATTAATAATTTCATAATGTCATAGCTTGGATAAATGAATAATTTATTTTCAAGACATATATCTTACATATTCAGATGCCATCTTACATATTCAGATGTAAAATTTGTAGCTTTCAAGACATTAATCACTGTCTCTAGCTTTCAAAACATTAATAACTGTCTTGGAGTTGTTGAGAAATTGTACTGTTTTTTCGAAACACCAAAACGAAATGTTGTTTTTCCAACTAAAATCGATTGACTAACAGACACAAAATACGCAACTGGTTATAATTTATTGATTGCTACGTTTATTTGAATTTTTCCATTAAAAGATTTCTGTCATTAAAATGTTTCTCTTTATCGTTGTTGATATTTGTACATATTGTGCATCATTTGCTTAACATCTGTCTTGTTTATTTATTTATCATTATTACATACACATGCGTGGACACACACACACATTCTCTCTCTCTGTTTCTCTCTTTCTTTCTTTCTTTCTCTCACTCTCTCTCTCTCTGTTTCTCTCTCTCTCTCTCTCTCTATATATATATATATACCATATACGTATATTGTATATTGTACATATATAATTATATACATAAATATAAACATGATTATATAAAAAGTATAAATATAAACGTGTGTGTGTGTGTTTGTGTGTGTGTGTGTTTGTGTGTGTGTGTGTGTGTGTGTGTGTGTGTGTGTGTGTGTGTGTGTGTGTGTGGCTGCCGGACTGCCTGATAACTTTTGATATTAGCAAATAAACGAAATGACATGAAATATTTTTATCATACACAGTCCTCCACTCAACTCAACTCAACTGAAGTTATGCCTCTGTGTGTAATGATAGTACCGATAATAAGAAGCACAACGTAACGTAACGATCGGCCTCATGGACAGGTGCAGGCTGAAGAGTCCGTAACTTTATTGGCAAACATTTCTGCACGATAATGAAAAGCACTCTTTGTTTACTAACGTTTCAATTTATGAGAATATAATATTGTTATATTGTGAATATCAGTTAATATGGTAATATTAGAGAAAATGACATTAAGATAATATTTAAAAAAAGTTATGTTCGTTCGTTTGTTTGTATGTATGTATGTATGAATGTATGTATGTATTATTATTATCAAAACATTTATCTAGCGCTAGTTATGTATGTATGTATGTATTATTATTATTATCATCATTATTATTAAAATTTATATAGCGCCAATTATAATTAATAATTATTTTCATCGTCACTCCATGTTCATAAAAGAAAATAATTCAAAACAATGATTTAAACAAGACGTCTTTTAAACTGAAAAAGCTTTAATCCCGATTGACGAAGTTCATCTGGCAGTCCATTCCAAAAAGTCCGTCCTGAAACAGCAAAATCTTTCTTACCAGTTTTCAAATATGTTTTCGGCACATATAATTTTTTGAACTGGAAGACCTCAACTGCCCGTGAGTTCCCAGGGAGGAAATCTTCATGCATTCATCCAATATGTACCTAAGAGCCGGACCATTTATGCATTTAAGCATCAGTACCCAATTTGAACAGGATTCTTTCAGGATTCTTTCAGGATTCTTTCAGCCAATGCAAATGTATGTGTGCATGTATGCATGTATGTATAAAAAATATGTATGTATTCATGCGAATGTATGTAAATATATACCTATAATACTCCTCAACTTAACACACCGACACAATCTTCGCAGCTCCAACATACAAGCAGATATCAATCTATTTAATACAGTGTGAGGTTCACACGGAATAATTTTGCATTGGAAAGCACAGCTCCTCTTTAAATGCTTTGGTGCATCACTGTAATTAAGTAATCAGATAAGATGGTATCAGCAGTTGAGTTGTTTGTCGGGCAGATAGCAGTCTCTTGTAACGTTGCAACATCTTAGCAGGACATTTGCATGTATATCAGTCGACATCATTACAATCACTGGCATTCCAAACACCAACACTAACATGCAATACTCCTACAACAATGACAAATACAAAATAAAAGATCCCCGAATGAGTTCAAATTAAATAAATATTGTAGATATTTCAAACGATTTAATGATAACCACATTAAAATTATTTTGAAATATTTGCTGCATGATTGTGGGATGAAAGGTCAATGCCGTAGTTTGAAGGGCTGTTGTTATTTCATTTTAATTTAACACTAAAACGACAACAGTTTCAAACAGCAAAATTTACAACGACTCACGATCAAACGATACAACAGCAACGCAACAACAGCAACAACACAACTGTATCACACCACACAACGACACCACAAAAAGCACTCCTCTCTAGGGAGAATCCAATATTCAGTGACATCATCGACATATCAACAACTCACAAACATATTTTGCATTGCTAAATATACAACCTGCAGCACACACATAAACACATGCATGCCACATATATCCAAACAAATCTTAACCTAACTTCCAGAAACAATGTAATTCCATAATGTTGAAATTTGAAAAAGTTATTTTGCATTTGCACCTTACCAACTTAGGTACAACTTGTGTACAAATGTACAGGTCACAACATTAACGTATTTCTTATTTACGGCGTTATATTGCGATATCTCCATGCTAATAAATTATTGAAATGCCTTGGGATTACTAAGTAGCCCCACAGCCAACGTTCATGTTTAACGCCACGCAACAACACACATTTCTCACGCACGAAACACATCCCACAAAAACTTCACACACACACACACACACACACACACAACACACACACACACAAACAATCCGCACACAAACACACATAACTTCACATAGTGAGCTATTACAAAAGTGTCAATAATCCAAACAACAACATGTTTGATAATAATAAATGAGGCCAATTATTTTAAATTATTTTTTTAAATAATTTAACCAAAAAATTATTAATAAAATATATATTGCGAATGAAATGGATTCAGAAAAATTATTTTTTTTACGTATATCATAATTAAATAAAAACAGGCAGAATGTTGATGGAGGGAT